GAATAGTGCAACAATGAATGAATGGAAACCCAAAATCTCTGTAAATGTTTATGAAAATTAATAAAATATAATTATAGGAAAAAAAAAGGTTGGGCATACTATTGACAAGGAAACAAACTCTGCCACATTCTATTGATTGTTATCTCAAATTCTTCTCAATAGAAAACTATGATATTTTTTAGCAAAATGTTGAATGTACACATCAGAATAAATAAAAATGAGGAAAAGTAATGTGTTTTTTGCATTATGTCTTTAGAAAGTACAAATCAAAGATGGGAAAAGATTCTTTCTGTTGTTGTATTTGAAAATAGAGAAATGATGGTAGGAACAATGAGAGCATGTCCCTTAAATTTATTATGATAGGCACCTAGGTATGAGTATGAAAAATCACTTTGTACTGATTAGCTGGGAAAATAAAAAAACATATGTTACTATATACTAAGAGATGCAATTAAGCGCTAGAATGACAGACATTTAATGAGCCATTCATGAGGAGTTAGGAGTAAACGGAATGTAAACCTATGTTTTTTCCACATAAAGGCTAAATTACCTCAATAACCTTTCTGGTTTATAAAATTCTTCTAACCAGAATCCCAAATACATTTGTAATACAATGCAAAACAAGATCCAATATAACATTTTGAATGTACTATATAAGTGTCTGTTATCTTTTCCTCTAAATGTGCGTGAATGTAGATACAAATTTTACATGTTATTTACTGCATAGCATTTTAATCTGAACCTTTACTTGGTTAGTACGTTAAAGATACTTAAATATCTGGTAATACTGCTGACTCATTATGAAGTATTAGAGCCTTGCTTTACATGATTAGTGGCCAAAGGGACATGGCTATCATTCTGTACATTACAGAGTAAACATTCTTTTAGGCACATTGACAGACAGCTACAAACTGGTACTCGGTTTCCAAGGCCAATGAATTAATCGTGTGCAGGATACTCACATCAGCATAGTGTCCTATCATATCACACCGGTCACATCGTTTTCTCCAGGAAGATCTTTCAAAACATCTGTGACTGGAAGACATGGGCAAAGAACAGTCAAAGCAAAAGCGGTCTGGACAGGCATACTGGAGGTGTCCTCTTTCAGAGCACAGGCAGCAGGAACGGACTTTCTATTTGACAAAAAGAAGATCTCTTTAGTTAAACATTTTAATCTCTAACATTCGATTTCATTTTCTTAACCTAGTAGATTCCCTAAGAAGTTATGTATAATTTGAGACTCCAATAAAGGAGCTCTATTTTGAGCATAGTTGTAAAATCAAATAAGATGTAATTAGAGGATTGACATAAACCATCTTTATGTTATGGCTGTTAAAAAGGCTCAGTATATATGTACTATCAGCTGGCATCTTTTTATCAGTCAATGTCTTGGAGGAACACTGATAAAGTGGAGGTGGATAAGACAGAAAGTAAGATTATGAGGCTGTGGAAGCTAAGTTACAGAAGCAAAAATACAGAAAGAAGCTGCTTTTTGCGTGGAGAAGTGAAAATCAAGAAGAAACCCAAGATCTAGCTCAAATATTTGTGACAGTCATTTGGGAGTAGATCACAGAAGCAAAGTTTGTTAAGAGCTTATTATGTGTTAGACAGTATCTAGGAGATTTAGTTTGTTTCAAAAGTGGATTATCTGCTTAATGTAATTTCCATCAGTAAACATTCATAAATTCTTTTTTTTATCAGTGAAATTACCCCAAAACAAAACAAACTGTCTCATCAAGTAGAAGTTTTAGAAGTGAAAAGAATCTTAGGAATCATATGCATTATGCGTAAGTAAACACAGAGGGGTAAGTAACTTGCTCAAGGCCATATGATTAACACTAGGAAGCTGCAATCACAGGTTTTTATGTCTTTAAATTAACCACAGGCCAAAATAACCCCCAACCCTCAGATTTTTCGGACTTTAAATTTATTGTTTCTTCCCATTACAATTGGCTGTGAGCGACACAAAGTTGAACATGTATTATTACAGCATTTACATTTTAACGTTATAGGATTCCAACCCTAACACTCTAACTTTTCATAAGATGAGGGGAATGACATATTTCACATACTTTTGGAAGGGGACAGTTTTTTGACAAATGCCCACATTTGTCACAGTTTCGACAGATAACGTTTTTGTTAACTGAATAGTATCGGCGTGTCAATCTTCCAGATGATCTATTATTAACAATTTGTGCCTAAAAAGGGGGAAAAAAATAAAGAATTAAGAAATACTATTTGCTCTTTTTGTTAATAATATTAATCTTAGTCTAATCTCTATTTAAAGGCAATTTCCATTGATAAGCATAAAGAAACATTCAATTTCAAATCAGTTACAGTATCTGCTGCAAGACAAAAGTTCTACTCTTTTTCATCTATAACTTATCATTAGTACACTCTGCATTCTCTTAAAAGGAGGTAAAACCAAAAACTAAAAACATCAAAAAGAAGTAACTTAATTAACCTCACTGCCAACAAGTCAGTTCTGACTCCTCATGATCCTACATTGGGTTTCTGAGGTTGTAGGAAGACACTGTCCATCTTTCACTTGCAGAATGGCTGGGTTTTTATATCCTCTACCTTAGGCTAGCTGTCCAATATGTAACACAGCACACCACTTAGTATTCTTTTAAGAAGGACATAGAAAAACTTAAGAAGGGGTGCCATGAAGATAACTCTTGTCTTTTTTCATCTGCCTCACATACCCATTCTTTTCTATTTCTTTTCCTTAAGGATTCCCTTCTCTCTACTTACAGATTCAGGCCTAGTTCAGGTACCAATAGGTACCATTTAGACATTCTGATGTTGTTTAGAGCCAAAGGCATGGCTAACTTCTATACCTGAATACATGCCATATTTTTGGAATTAAAAGTCTGCTTAAATATTTCTGGGATAGTGTTTTTGTAATTTTTTTCTGTTGTAAAATTATAGAAGGAAAGAAATTCTCTTCCCAGTGAAGGTTTTGTGTTTTTCTGTTTTAAAAGGTCCATCATACCTACATAATGATCAAGTTCTAGCCATTCAATCAATATTCTAGCCCAAATTTATAAAGTCATATGAGAATAATAGCAAAGTATATAATTTGGAACACCTAAGAAGATAGGTATGGAGATAGGACACATCCCTGGTCGACACTGTTCCTGACTTTGAACCATGCAGTGTTTCCTTGCTCTGTTTTGATGACTGCCTCCTGGTCCAAGAATAGATTTCACATAAGCACAATTAAGGGTTCTGGGATTCCCATTCTTTCCAGAGTTAGCCACAGTTTGTTGTGATCCACACAAGTCAAATGCCTTTGCATAGTCCATGAAACACAGATAGATATTCCTCTGGTACTCTCTGCTTTCAGCCAAGATCCATCTAACATTGGCTATAATATCCCTAGTACCACAACCTCTTTTAAACGCAGCCTGCATATCTGGCAGATCTCTGTTGATGTGCTGGTTCAGTCATTTTTTTAATAATTTTCAGCTGAATCTTGCTTCATGTGCTATTAATGATATTGTTCAATAATTTCCACACTCTGTCGGATTCATTTTGGAGACTAAGGTTTGCCTAACCCAGGCCATAGTCTTCACAATTGCTATTTGTCAGAAAGCTGGACAATGACTAGGGATGACAGAAGGAGAATTGATGCCTTTGAGCTGTGGTGCTGGAGAAGAGTATTGAATATACCATGGACAGCTAGGGGAACAAACAGGTTTGTCCCAGAGAGGGAGAAACCAGGCTGCTCCTTTGAGGCCAGGATTTGAAAGCTTCATCTGACATATACTGGGCATGTTGTAAGATGGGACCAGTCCTTGGAGAGGGACATCATGCTTGGGAGGGTGGAGGAACAACAAGCGCAAGGGAGGCAGACCCTCAATGAGATGGACTAACTCAATGACTGGGGTAATGGGGGTAGGAGTATGTATCAGAGACAATAAGGTTGGCACAGGATAGAGCAGGGTTCAGCGCTGTTGTGTGGAGTTGCTATGAGTTGCAAATGACTTGACAGCACATAACAGCAACAACAACCACCACCAAAAAGGGAAAATGAAAATCTCAGTAACACTTTAATCTTGTTGGTAGCGGTCCTTCCATCTTTGAAAAAGCTTTCATTTTTTAGTTATTCTGCTGAGTTGGACAACAGACCCCAAGGAGAAACATACTAGTTCTCTTGAAACTTTTCTTATTTCTAGTTGTAAAATTATTCTCTCTTTTCTATCATCTTCCACAATTAAAGCTAATAATTAACAAAGAAAAACACCTGCCACATCCTAAATATAGACTAACCATTTCCTTCCACTGAAGAAGCAGTTTATTTCCGGTGTTGGTCATTAGTGGTACCAGGCCACATGGGCTGAAGACTCACCACGGCAGACCAGAAACAGAAGGAAAAGAAGTCTAATCATTATGACTATTCATTAACTTCTAGCAAAAATCAAGGCTGAAATTAGTTTTTGAAAAGTTCAATCACCCATAGAATAAAATCAGGCCTTTTCTTATAAAATACTGGGAACAATGGTACTGAAAACAATAGCAAAATCCTTATTAGTCTTTCAAAAGTTATTATAGTAAAATTAAAAAAGAAAGTATTAATAAAATAAAATTATTAAGCTACTGTTGTTGATTGCCTTCGAGTTGAGCATGACTCATAACTACCCTGAACAACAGGTTTGAAGTCCCTCTACAACTATCGACATTTATCAAGGTTCATAAGGTTTCTGTAGGCATGTTATTTAGGAAGTGGAAGTGGATGCTACTACTAAGAATTAAAAAAAAATTATTTTACCTCAATATCTTTGTCACTGATGAACCAATTTACACCATCTTCTCCTACAAAATGAAAGAGACAACAATTTACTTAATGAAAATTTTTTAAATTGTAACATAGGGTTGCTACGACTCGACAGCACATAACAACAACAACAACAACTTAAGTTACACTTAAAATTATATATACTAAAAAGAAAACTGGCTAAAAATACCATGACTTTGCCTGAATACCAATATTCTTGTATAATAAATCTATGTTACTCAATCTTGGTATCTTTAAATTACTTATAGATTATTCAGTTTGTTAATATTCAAATTGAATGCCAAATAATAGGAAAAAATTTCAATACCTTAACTTTTTTTTGTATCTATAACTTTTAAATTTTTATGTTGATTTTACATACAATTTGTATACATTGTGTTTAATTCATGTATATTGTGTTTCACAAAATTCACGTTCTATTTCACACCATCATTCCCATACACTGTGTTTGGTTCTCTTACAACTCATTGATGCCTTTGAGCTGTGGTGCTGGAGAAGAGTGTTGAATATACCATGGACTGCTAGGAGAACAAACAGGTTTGACCTTGAGAGGGTGAAGCTGGAATGCTCCTTGGAGTCAAGGATTCTGAAGCTTCGTCTGACATACTTTGGGCATGTTGCAAGGAGGGAATGGTCCTTGGAGAGGGGCATCATGTTTGGGAGAGTGGAGGGACGGCACAGGAGAGGAAGACCCTTGATGAGATGGATCGATTCTGTGATTGGAGTGGTGGGAATGAGTGTGTCAGAGATGGTGAGGTTGGCACAGGACAGAATGGCGTTTAGGGCTCTTGTACATAGGGTCGCTATGAGTCTCAAGCGACTCAATGGCACATAATAACAACATAAACAATTTTATTAATTTTTAAAAAAATTTATACTGGTTTATATACAAAGTTCATAAAGATCATATACATTGGTTTTTACACTGGATCTTTTCCCTTTCCTTTACCCATCCCTCCCCCTCCACCCATCAAATTGTGTGACCCTATGATTAAGTGCACCCCCCTTGGGTCCTCGTACTTTTTGTACAATAATGGTCTTAAACAGTATTTGTCCTTATGAGATTGAGTTAGTTCACTAAGTATAATGCTCTCCAGTCCCTCCCATTTTAAGTAGTAATTTACAAAATCATTGTTCCTATGTGCTGCACAGTATTCCATTGTGCATATACCATATAAAAACCCTAAGCTTTTATTTTAGCTCTAGTAGTATCTGAAAGGACTTAACAAACTGCTTAAACTCTATGAGCTTCTATTTCTTTACTTTGCAAAACAGAAATAATAGTATCTGCCGTGTCTATCTAAAAAAATACCATTAGAAAAGATATGCAAAAGTGCTTTAAAAATCAGTTTTACACGCTGTACAAATAAAACAAACCAACAACTATTGATTATGTCTATTAGTTTTCTGTTGTTGACTTCTAACAATTAAAAAAAAATTGGACTTTGAATATTGTTTCTCATTATTAGTGCTAGAACTCAGCACCACATGTAGTTACATCCAAAATGATGAATAAAGGAGTTAAAAAGGAGACCAAATATCCAGAAACTATTGAGCTAAAAATTGAAGCAGCACAGAAATATAGAGGAAAAAAGATCAATGTTTTTCTGTAATACTTGCACTGTTTCTTTACAAACCTGCAAATGGCTGTTATTCCTTTGGTTCATCCATGGCCACAGAGGAACTAGGACTAATGCAGAAGCTAAGGTGTCAACAAAAGACTCAAAAGTCTTTTTTCTGTCACTAAAGCAAAGTTAAGATTTCCTCCTTACTCCTACCTTACTACTCTCCTCTATCTCAAAAACACAAATTGAGCTTGGCTTGTTTCTTTGAAAGGAACTTTGAAGAGCATTGAGGTAATCTACATTTTTCCAGACCTACCAGGAGTAAGTACTTATATTATACCAGGCATGAGATATTTTTACTAAGAAAATCAAGGGGCTACTTTACAGAAAGACCAATCCACAGGAAAGCAGAGATGCTGTGCTGATTATTTCCTTTGTAAAATTTGGAGGCTGCAGCCACGTGTTGAGAGTGGGGGATACACATTAAACAGTAGCGGCCTCTATTCTTTCACCATAACCATCCACAGTACTATTTTTTAAGAAAGCACACTTTGCTGTAACTTTTAAAGCCACCTTTATCTTAATGTCCTTCATCAATAAAATAAAAACTGAACACTTGAATTATATAGCTGACTTAATACTGTTTTTAAAACAGGAAATGCAAAAGAGAAATTGTTACCTACCTATTCTTTTTTAAAAAATTTTTTAAAAATTATTTTGTGTGTGTGTACCATCAAATCGGAGATTGTCCCTCCTTCTCTAGATTCGAACCGCTCACCTCTGGGACTGCAGTACAGCTTCCTGCCGCCAAAGCTTGCCTGTTACCTACTTATCCTCTTAAAAATTTGAAAATGAGTGAGGAATTGTGAAAAATGGAAAGGTCTGAGGGAGAAAAGGTAAGCTCCATTTAAAGTGTTTTAATATTCCGATAAAATTTAGCAATATTTTGTGTTACATGCCAACCAACTCAACAAGCTACAGTATATTCTCACTACAGGAAGTTAATTTATAAGTACAGAAAATAGGTTTGGACTCCAGATGATGTCAGTGCTTCTCAGGTGTAAATAAAGCAAAGACATGACCAGAAAAGTATAAACCAACTCTAGTCCTCCCCTGTGAATCTGGTTTTGGCTTACTGGTAATGATTGCCGACTTCTGACCTTGTCCTATTACTCATACTGTTTGCTTCTAAACTTCAAATCCTATACCAATCAAAGCCTTTTCACGAGCAGCTCATTTGAACTTTTGTACACAGTCTATTCTCCACTATTGTAAAAATCTGGGTACAAAACTGGGTTTTGTATAATAATGGGTTACAGTAAATTACATCAACATTACTTTACATTTGTTAGCATCTTAAGAATTTAATGTAAAGTAATGTTGATGTAATTTACTGTAACCCATTATTATACAAAACCAGACAAAGGGAGGGGGTAAAGGAAATGGGGAATTAAGCAGGGACCTGAAAAAAACAGGGTAATGGTAAGCATTGATCCATAGTGATTAATTTTATGAAACAATGTATGAGAATGATTCTATGAATTACTTTGTGAATGAAAGAAAGCATGAAACAGTGTATATGAATTTTATATGCAAACCAGTATAAAACATTTTTTAAAGTAGGTTATGAAACAGTGAGGCCTCAAACCTGTTCCTGAGATTTATTTTGAAATTTAGGTGTGATAGACTCAAGGTCAAATTTTCGTTCCTGTGGACTTGATTTAATTTTCCTCAGCTTCAGCTTGAACTTGCATATGAGTAGTTGGTGGTCTGTTCCACAACCAGCACCTGGCCTAGTTTTCACAGCTGACATTGAGCTTCTCTAGTCATTCTTTCCACAGATGAAATAGATCTGATTCCTATGCATACCATCAGGTGAAATCCATGTGTATAGCCTGCATTTGTGTTTCTTATAAAATGTATTTGTAATGAGTAAGTCATTGTGCAAAATTCTATCATTCTATCTCCGGCTTCATTTTTGTCACCGAGTCCATGTTTTCCAACTGCTGAACCTTTTTCTCGATTCCTAACTCTTGCATTCAAGTCACCCATTATTATTAATGCATCTTCGCATTTTTTTTCAATCTCTGACTGCAAAAGTTGGTAGAAATCTTCAGTTTGAAACTTTGACAAATGTACATACTTGTGAAAATATCACAAAACCAAGATGTAAAACATTCCTATCACCCTAAATGCTGTTTAGTATCAATCTGCCATGAATGTTTCACTGAGGCAACCAATGATTTGCTTTTCGTCATGACTCATTTGTTTCTTCTGTTCTAGAACCTCATAAACATAGAATCACATACACTTTGAAAATGGAATGGACACTACTACCAGAGGTCACTTTTCATCCAAGTAACAGTGACTTGCTTATAAGATAAGCAATATTACTCTATATATGAGACCAAATAGCATTTAGCCAGAAGCAAAAATGAGGTGGTGAGGAGGACAGCTAGATCAATGCAAACAGAACAAACGGAATGGAAACGATGAGAATGCTGACAAATTGTAGAAACTGTAATCAATGGTATGGAACAATCTGACTAAGAACTGATAAACAGGAACCTAATTTGCTGGATAAACTTTCACATAAAACACAATAATAATAAAAAATTAAAAGGAAATAGTTAATCAATAAAGCAAAATTCAAAAGTAGATTTAAAAATTCTAAAAATACTAACTGAATAAAATAGGTGAGAAATATAAAAGAATTTAAAAATGGAAATGGAAGAAAATAACACCATGTATATATTTACCATTTTATATATTATATATATACACACACACCCCGATTTACTATAATGTGTTATACATAAATACACACACACCATTTACTATAAGTGTGTTTACCTTTATATATGTGTGTGCATATATATGTACATGTATGTGTGTGTATACACACACACACACACACACACACACACACACACACACCCTCCATGTACTGTATATGTACAGAAATCTTGAAAGGCTAAAAAAAATTACCGACAATAGCTAGCTATTATGGAGAACTAGGGTTCAGGGGGTGAGGAATTAGATAGTTAGAGAATGAATGGAGGAAGATGTTACACTGTATATTCTTTTTTTTTTACACTGTATATTCTTTACACAGATTTTCAGCCATACACATTAGCTCTTCAAAGTGTTAAATAAATTAAAAAAAATTAAATGGAATCATATACTTTGCACCATTTTATGTTTTGCTGCTACCACTCTGCATATTTTTCAGATTCATACATGTTGTGGTTTGCTTCTTTCTTGTTACTGAACAGTATGCCAACATACGGACATAACATAGTTTAGCTGTTAATCTGCTAATGAACATTGGGATTTTCTTTGGTTCTCAGCTATTATAAATAAAGTAATAAATTCTGGGGAATTCTGGTGGCCTAGTGGCAAGAAGGTGTACTACAATCTCAGAGGTAATTCAGTTCGAATCCCCAGATACT